TTTGGAGTCAGATCCAAAAAATCATCACCAAGACTGATGTCAAGGAACATATTGTCCATGTTTTCTTCTAAAAGTTTTATGGTTTCAGGTCTACATTTAAGTTTTTAATCCGTTTTGAGTTACTATTTATGTATGGTGTAAGATAGTAGTCTAGTTTTTGTTCTTTTGCATGTGGCTGTCCAGATTTCCCAACACAGTTTATTAAAGAGACTGTCCTTTCCCCACTGTATATTCTTGCATCCTTTGTTGTAAATTAATTATACGTGGGTGGGTTTGTTTCTGGGCTCTCTATTCTGTTCCATTAAACGATATGTTTGTTTTTATGCCAATACCATACTGTTTGGATTACTGTGGCTTTGTAATATCGTTTGAAATCAGGGAGCATGATGCCTCCAGCTTTGGTCTTCTTTCTGTAGATTGCTTTGGCTATTCAGGGTCTTTTGTGGTTTCATACAAATTTTCAGATTGTTTGTTCTGTTTCTGCTAGAAATGCCTTTGGTATTTTGATAGGGATTGCATTGAATCTGTACATTGCTTTAGGTAATATGGACATTTTAACAATATTATTTCTTCTAATCTGTTAACATGAAATATCCTTCCATTTATTTGTACTTCATTCAACTTCTTTCATCACTGTCTTATATTGATAGTTATCAGTGTACAGGCCTTTCTGTTCCTTTCTTGAATTTATTCCTAGGTATTTTATTCTTCTTAATGCAATTGTAAAGTTTTTGTTTTCTTAATTTTCTTTCAGATAGCTCATTGTTAATGTATGGAAATGCAGCACATTTTTGTATGTCGATTTTGTACCCTGCCACTTTACTGAATTCTTTAAAAAATTATAACAATGTTTTGGTGGAGTCTTTAGACCATATATATATATCATGCTGTCCTCAAATAATGACAGTTTTACTTCTTCCTTTTCAACTTGGATGACTTTTATTTATTTTTTTCTTGCCTTAATTGCTCTGGCTAGGACTTCTAATACTATGTTGAATAAAAGTGGTGAGAGTGGGCATCCTTGTCTTGTTCATTGGAGGAAAAGCTTTCAGCTTTTCCCCCCTGAGTGTGATTTTAGCTGTAGGCTTGTTATATATGGCTTTTATTATGTTGAGATACACTTCTTCTGTACAACCTTGCTGAGAGTTTTTTATCATAAATGGATGTTAAATATTTTCAAAAGCTTTCTTCTGCATCTATGGGATGTTCATATATTTTTATCCTTCATTTTGTTAACATGGTGTATCACATTGATTGATTTTCAGAAGTTGAACCATCCTTGCATCCCTGGAATCCCACTTGATAGTGGTGTATGATCTTTTTAATGCATTGTTGAATTCGTTTTGGTAAATTTTGTTGAGGATTTTTGCATCTATATTCATCAGGAATATTGGCTTATAATTTTCTTTTTTTGTTGTGTCCTTGTTTGGTTTTGGTATCAGGGTAACATTGGCCTCGTGAATTGAGTTTGGAAGGGTTTTTCTTAAGTTTTTTTAAAGAGTTTGAGGAAGGTAGTTATTGAATCTTCTTTAAGTGATTGATAGAATTCAGCACAGAAGCCATCTAGTCCTGGACTTTTGTTTGTTGGGGGATTTTTTATTACTGATTCAATCTTCTTACTAGAAATTGGTCTATTCAGATTTTTTATTTCTTCCTGATTCAGTCTTGGAAGATTCTATGTTCCAAGGAATTTATCCATTTCTTCTAGGTTGTCCAGCTTATTGACGTATAATTGTTCTTAGTAGTCTCTTATGATTCTTTGTATTTCTGTTTATCAGTTGTATCATTTCCTCTTTTATTTCTGATTCTATTTATTTAAGCTGTCTCTTTTAAAAAAAATATTTATTTATTTATTTGGTTGCGTTGGGTCTTAGTTGTAGCAGGCAGGCTCCTCAGTTGTGAGCCCTCTTTATCTTTCTTGGTAAAGAGAATTCAGCTAACGGTTTGTCAATTTTGGTTATTTTTTCAAAGAACCAGTTTTCAGTTTCATCATTCCCTTTTACTGGCTTTTTAGCTTCTATTTTGTTTATTTCTGCTCTGATCATTGTTATTTCCTTCTTTCAACTCACTCTGGACTTTGTTTGTTCTTCTTTTTCTAGTTCTTTTAGGTGTAAAGTTAGCTTGTTTGAAATTTTTCTTTTTTCTTGAGCTAGACTTGTATCACCATACATCCCTCTTAGAACTGCTTTTGCTGCATCCCATATATTTTGGTAAGTTGTGTTTCAATTCTTTTTGTCTCAAGGTATTTTTTTTTAGATTTTTAAAAATAGATCTTTATTGGAGTATAATTGCTTCACAATACTGTGTTAGTTTCTGTTGTACACCAAAGTGAATCAGCCATATGCATACATATGTCCCCATATCCCCTCCCTCTTGAGCCTCCCTTCCACCCTCCCTATCCCACCCCTCTAGGTAATTGTAAAGCATTGTAAAGCACCAAGCTGATCTCCCTGTGCTATGCTGCTGCTTCCCACTAGCTAACTATTTTATATTCGGTAGTGTATATATGTCCATGCTACTCTCACTTCGCCCCAGCTTCCCCCTCCCACCCCGTGTCCTCAAGTCCATTCTCTATGTCTACATCTTTATTCCTGCCCTGCAACTAGGTTCATCAGTACTATTTTTTTTTCAGATTCCATATATATGCAGTAGCATATGGTATTTGTTTTTCTCTTTCTGACATACTTCACTCTGTATGACAGACTCTAGGTCCATCCACCTCACTACAAATAACTCAATTTCGTTTCTTATTATGGCTGAGTAGTAATCCATTGTATATATGAGCCACATCTTCTTTATTCATTCATCTGTTGATGGACATTTAGGTTGGTTTCATGTACTGGCTATTGTAAATAGTGTTTCAGTGAACATTGTGATACATGTCTCATTTTGAATTATGGTTTTCTCAGGGTATATGACCAGTAGTGGGATTGCTGGGTCATATGGTAGTTCTATTTGTAGTTTTTTAAGGAAACTCCATACTGTTTTCCATAGTGTCTGTATCAATTTACATTCCTACCAACAGTGCAGGAGGGTTCCCTTTTCCCCACACCCTCTCCAGCATTTATTGTTTCTAGATTTTTTGATAATGGCCATTCTGACTGGTGTGAGGTGATACCTCATTGTAGTTTTGATTTGCATTTCTCTAATTATTAGTGATGTTGGGCATCTTTTCATGTGCCTCTTGGCCATCTGTATGTCTTCCTTGGCGAAATGTCTATTTAGGTCTTCTGCCCATTTTTTAATTGGATTGTTTTAAAAATAAACAAATGGGACTTAATTAAAGTTAAAAGCTTTTGCACAACAAAGGAAACCATGAACAAAACAAAAAGACAACCTTGAGAGTGGGAGAAAATATTTGCAAAAGAAACAGCAAAAGATTAATCTCCAAAATATACAAATGTCTCAAGGTATTTTTTGATTTCTTTTTTGATTTCTTCATTGACCCATTGGTTGTTTAGTATCATGGTGTTTAATCTTCACATATTTATGATTTTTTCAGTTTTCTTCCTGTAATGTTTATTGATTTTCTGTGTGGATGAAGTATTCATTTATGTAAGTGGGTTATGAGGGTTCTGCACTATTATTGTATTTCCATCACTTTCACCCTTTAGGTCTGTTAATATTCGTGTTGTATTTTGGTGCTCTTATGTTGGGTGCATATATATTTACAAATATTATGTCTTCTCTTTGGATTGACCCCTTTATCATTATCCAGTGCCCTTTTATTGTAGTAGCTGTTTTAAAATCTATTTTTTTCTGGTGTAAGTATAGCTGTCCCAGCTTTCTTTTGGTTTCCATTTGCATGGAATATCTTTTTCCATCCCTTCACTTTCTTAGTGTGTGTGTCCTTACATCTGAAGTGAGTCTCTTGTAGGCAGCAGATAGATGGGTCTTGTTTATGTATCCATTCAGCCACTCTGCGTCTTTTGACTGGAGCATTTAGTTTATTTACATTTTAAGTAGTTATTAATAGGTATGTACTTACTGCCTTCCTGTTAATTATTTTATAGCTGTTTTGTAGTTCTTCTCTGTTCCTTTCTTTTTCTCTTGCTTTCTTCTCTCTTGAGGTTTGATGACTTTCTTTAGTGTTTTGTTTAGATTCCTTTCTCATTATTTTTTGGTATCTACCATAGGCTTTTGCTTTGTGGCTAGTATGAGGCTCACAAATAACAGCCTATGTAAATAACATTCTATTTTAAGTTCATAACAACTTTAAGTTTGAATGCATTTTAAAATTACATTTTTTACCCTCTCCCCCACATTTTATGTTTTTGATGGCACATTGTACATCTTTTTATTTTGTGTTCCTCTTACCATATTATTATAGTTATATTTATTTTTACTTTTGTTTGTCTTTTAATCTTCATATTAGCTTTATAAGTGATTAATCCACTATCTTTATAATAGATTTACCTTTACCAGTGAGATTTATACTTTCATATATTTTTGTTGTAGTTGTTGTTACTAATTAATGCCCTTTTTTGCAGTCTGTTTAACATTCCTTGGAAGGCTGGTTTAGTGGTGATAAACTCCTTTAGCTTTCACTTGTCTGGAAAACATTTCTTCTTCAATTCTGAATGGTAATCTTGCCACACAGAGTATTCTTGGTTGGAAGTTTTTTCCTTTCAGCACTTTAAATATATTGTGCTACTCCTGGTCTGCAGAGTTTCTGCTGAAAATGTGCCGATAGTCTTATGCGGGTTCCCTTCTACATAAAAAGTTGTTTTTCTCTTGCTGCTTTTAAGATTTCCTCTTTAACTTTTGACATTTTAATTGTACTGTGTCTTGGTGTGGATCTTTTTGGGTTCAACTTTTTTGGAACTCTAGGCTTCTTGGACCTGGATTTCTGATTCCTTCCCCAGGTTAAGGAAGTTTTCAACCTTTTTTTTTTTTTTTTTTTTTAAATATAAATTTTCTGCCTCTTTCTCTCTTCTCCTTCTGGGATCCCTATAATGCAAATGGTAGTCTGTTTGATGTTGTCCCATTGGTCCCGTAAGCTATTTTCACTTTTTGAAATTCTTTTTCCTTTTTGTTGTTCTGTGTGAGTTCCACTGCCCTTTCTTCTAGATCACTCATTCTTTCTTTGCTTCACCTAGTCTGTTTGAAACCCTCTAGTATATTTTTCAGTTCAGTTATCCTATTCTTCAGCTCTTTGACTTCTGTTAGGTATTTTCTTATATTTTCCATTTCTTTGTTGAAGTTCTTAATGTGTTTATCCATTCTTCTCCCAAGTTCAGTGGACATCTTTATGACCATTATCTTCTACTCTTTATCAAGCAAATTACTTATCTCCATTTCATTAAGGTTTTTTTTTGAGGTTTTATGTTGTTCTTTCCTTTCGAACATGTTCCTCTGTGTCCTCATTATGCTCGACTCTGTGTTTGTTTCTGTATATTAGGTGAAACAGCTACCTTCCCAGTCTTGAAGGAGTGGCGTTGTGTTAGGAGAGGAACGATGTCTTTCAACCTCACCCTAGGTCTTGGTTGTCTGTTGAACCTTTGTGATTGTCCAAGCAGCCTGATTTATTCCTGATAGTTCCCAGTTGTTGACGGTGTACCCATTATCTATCAGTGTACCAAAGGGAAGTATCTCAGTCAGTACCTTGCTTCAGGCTGATGGGAAGCCAGACCCTCAGACAGCTTTTAAAGGATGCAAATAGATACAGTCCTGTGGGACTGCAATCATAAACCCTGCTGGAGACCTGGACTTGTCTTTTGGGCGAAAGTTGCAAGAATTGGGGCTTCAGTCGTGCGTATAAGCTGTTTTCTGTGAGGTAGTAGAGAGCTGTAGCACAGCCAAGGGACAGTACAAATATGGTGTTTCCCAGCCTGTGTTCCCTGAGAGCAGTTTTGTAGTCTCTAGCTCTGTGTAGCAAGCCTCAATTCTGCCCCTCAAGATAAAATTATAGGACAAGTAAATTGTCCTTTTTCACAGAAAGATCTGGGGTATGTTTCAGTCTGCTGCCTGTTGGTGCCTTGGGGATGGTAGCCTGCCACAACTGTCTTTCCTATTGTTACAGTCCTGTGGGACCCAAGAATGCAAGCGCCTTGGCCACCAGAGCCAGATAGATGATCAAGGAGTGTCCCCTGTGTATACTGCCCATGGCTGCCAGCTTTAATGAGGCAGCAGGAGAGCTCAGGGCTGGGGTGTGCCCACCAGCTTTTGCAGGGCCGCAGGAGAGCACAGGGTCAGGGCATACCTGCTAGCATTATCACGGTAGAGGGAGAGCAGAAAACTAACCAGCTCCTCCGCCCCCCCCTAGAGAGTTCCAACAGGCCTCTGTCCCTCTGGTGGTTGCTCTAAGACGAGCAAATGAATCTTCTTCACATGTAGTCTAGGCATTTTCATACTGCTGCTTTTGTGCCGGTGTCCAGCGTGAGTGAATCTGCACTCAAGCCCTTTAAGAGAAGTATCTCAGCTCCCTGCAGCCCTATGGGTCTCCTGGATATGAGCCTCATTGTTTTCAAAGCCAGATGTTTTGGAGGCTTGTCTCTTTGTTGCAGGTCCTAAGGGTTGGGGTGCCTGATAACAGGGCATGAACCGCTCGCTCTTCAGGGAGAAGCTCTGAATTTGTGAGATCCCTCCCAGTTGCGGGTTGCCACACTGTGATGAGGTTTTTGGTGAGACTGCCTCTGCTGTCTATCTTGATGTGGCCTTTTTACTGTTTGCCCTTTTACTGTTTGCTGTGCAGAAGTTGTTTGGCTAATTTTTAGGTCTTTTTCATAGGGAATTGTTCCATATGTAGCTGTAGCATTGGTTTATCCATGGGAGGAGGTGAGTTTAGGATCTTTCTATGCCACCATCTTGGACTTTCTCCTTCCATTTTGTTTTCTAATATGGTTAAATGGATAGATATAAGTAGTGACCTACTGAAGCCCGTTCTTACCAGCTCGAGAGAGCCAGTGTTGTTAATCTCTTCTTAAATCTTTATTCAGATATCACATTGCTAGCTTGAAACTAGCCACATTGGGAGTATTTACATCATGGAAATGAGTTGAAGCTACAAATTTGGCATTTTTGATGGTAAAGGAGGGAAAGCTGGCTGTTGAATATATGCCATTGCACAACTAGATATAATACACATAAACAAAAGTTCTTTGGTGTTCTCAAAAAATTTAAGATCAAAATGGGCTCAGGGACCAAAAAGTCTGCTAATCATAAATGAACTGCTGGTAGTTACTTTACTGTACAAGTTCAACAGCAAAGTCTGTGCTAATATATGATGAAGGAGGATTATCAGCCAGGTGCTTTGTCTTTAGAGCCACTTTACCAGTTTCCCCTATGGTGTCTTCCAACAAGAGGAACTCCATAAAGTGACATGAAGTCATAAGGTATGTCATATCCTTTGTGGTTGACACCCTAAGTTCATAGCTTACTTACTTGTTGAGCGATCAGAGACTCTCACTATTATGCGAATATAGAAAATTAGGGATGAGAAAAGATTCTGGGCTTGAGTAGTTAGAGAAGTCTTTAGGGAGGAGGTAAAGCATGAGATGGATCTTAAAAGTTTTTAGGGAGGTGTATTGGCTGAGGGATGTGGAAAAGGGGTTAAGCTTGTGGGAAGTAGAGGCAAGGTATGATTTTGCTGTGAAGAATTTGAAGAGTTGTTTTAGGAAATAATGAAGCAGATGGGGTTGAAAGAAAAATCAGGCTAAGAATTTGGAACTTAACTGGATAGAGCATAACCAGTACTGTATATTTTAAAAACTGGATCAAATGTTAAGGTGAAAGAGGTCTTTTACAGAGATTAATCTGGCAGATCTGTGTAGATTAGCAGGGAGTGGTCTGAAGCCAGGTAAACCTGTTTTAATCATCAGAAAGGAAGGATAGGGTGAAGAACCTGGGCTACTAATTCAGAAAGACTTTGGTTAAGATCCTTCTTCTGCCACTCTGTTATTTTCAGCTCATGGATAAGATGAAGATAACTAGCTAGTTGGGTTGTAAGTAACACAAAGGCATGAAAGAGTTTAGTAAAGGTTAGGTGCCTGGTACTATGCTAGGACCTTCAGTGAGAGGTATTATCAATGCTACTTTTGCTACTACTACTTCTACTGCCACTACTTTTATAATAATATTTGATGCGCTATAATGAAGATTGAAACTGGTGAACCATAAGTAGAAATAGGATGTAGAAACCAGGCCCATCCTTAACACTAATGGGTGCAAGAGTATAAATGAAAGTTCACTCATTATATTTCTGAATATTTAAATGCTACAAATCAGTTAACTGTTAAATAAAATGTGCTCTACCTCCTAATTTGACTGATATAGCTTTGTAATGAGGTGGATGATCATTTAGAATTTACAGATTTTTTTAGGAGTTCTGTTCTAGAATATAGTGGCCAAAGGAGAATTGGCCTTCTGTCACCTTGTTCTTCTCCTGTAGTCTACCTCCTTTTGCCCATATCCTAGGTTCTTTGCCATAGCATGTCCCCATGCCTATTTCCCAGGCAACCTTGCCTCACCCCTTGCAAGCTATCTCTTGACTGCCCCTTGGGCCTAGAGGTGGGTTTGCCTGCACCCCTGTCTGCCCTGGGGACGATACTTCAGGGCTCTGTATGTAAATTTGGGATCCTGGGAATCTGCTGTGGTAGAGTGCTGAGGAGTCAGAGAGCATGCCCTGAACTCTGCAGACTTCTCACTTCAAGAAGAAGTACCTGGCCAGGGGGCCAAAGTGGGGGCCAAAGTGGGTTCTCTAAAGTGTAAGGCCCAGGGCAGTGACTCTTTTTGCCTGGGTCTCAGGATGGTGCTGGAAGGGATCACCTGACATGGGTGACAGATCAGCAGGATTTGTTTACTATTAGTTGTGGAGTATGAGAAAATGAGCGTGCAAAAAATGAATACCAGGAGAATTATAAAGCCACTGAAAGAGTTAGCATAGTATGTGGGAGCAGATGAGGTGGGACCTGAATACAAAAAACTGTTTTGCTTGGCACTGAATACCTAATCAACTGCTAGCATATTGCCAAGCACATAGTATTGAGTCAATAAATGTTGAAGGGCAAGATGAAGATACTTGGATTATTTGTGCCAGGGATGAGAAGAAAGTCATTGTAGAATATAGAAAGAAACAAGAAAATAAGTTCTTGTGGGGCCAGTGTAGAGTTTTGAGGGAGGGTGCATCTTGCTGTGATTGGCATGGTAGTGAGTGAGCTACTTGTGTGTGTGGACCGTGTATATTTAATATTTGTATGTGTGGCGCCTAGCATAGTTGCAATTCTTTTTTAAATAAGTGATTGAATAATATTATATGAGAACAGCCTTTAAGAAATTAATTGGATCTTAAAGTTAAAATGATTAATGGCAAAGACAACTTGTATTATTAGTGATCTGACATGGAGTCTGAGAAACATGTAATAATTCAAGACATGAAGAGATCCTGAGCAATTGTGTTAGTTTCAGAATGAGGTGGTGAAGGATGTCTTCAAAGAGGAGATTTTACTTGTAACCTGTTTGGAGAGGAGTAGAGGACACAGATAACTGTAGATTAGCTTGAATTTTCTTACTTGATATTCACTCAAATTAAGTACAGGTGAGGGTGGTTGGAGAAAAGAATCCAAGCTAAAGGACTTGGTAGAATTATCTTAGAAACATCTGATTATGGGTATGTATAACTCATAGTCATTTTGCTCAAAGTTATTATGAAGTATTTTGTCACTTAATTTATAATAAATATGTACAGTAATATCTCATGTCAGAAAATATATGTCATAATGATAATAAGGTAACAGGAAAATCTGATGATAGGGTTAAAATTGCCGAGTTCTTTCTGAGAACTCTGGTGTGTTAATTAGTGTAGATTATTGCATTTTTGCTGTATCTGACTTGTAATCGCCTAAATACACAGCAAACACCTGTGATTACTTTAGTGATCCTTGTCTTGTCATGTTCAAGTCACCCCGAAAATGTGTATTTAGACTGTTCCCTGTTCATATATACTCAGCTGTGCCTGTTTGCTTTGTTATTTTTCTGAGTTTAATGGACCGACATAAAAATTTATGGCAACTGTCACTTAATGTCACCTTTACCTTTAAAGAAAAAAAGAAAACAAACAAAACTAAATCACGCCAGGCAGCTATGATGCTGTTTACAGTTGACTAAATTATCAGAATACTTTGTACTAAATTTATCTCTGACATCATGGGCCAAATTTAGGGCAAAAACGGTAGGAACATATATAAACAATGTACTTAATTACATTTTTATATGTAAGTGTTACCCTAAATTTAATTTATTAGCCAGTAAAAATCATTAGTTTTAAAATAACATTGCCCATTTGTCTTTCAACCAAAGATTTCTTTTTAAAATTTCCATAAAACTGAATAATCATGTATATCTTATTAATTTCTCTGGTTTGTGACCTGTTTGTATGTTGTTTTCTGCTTGTTTATTTTTAAGAAATAAATCTTATTTAATTATTTTTAAGGAATGAGCAAAGTTATGTCAGCTGCTAATCCATTCTCACTTTTGCTTCTCTATATCAGGCTGTTCTCAGAACTGGCTGGTCTCTCATCTTCACAATTTAAAAGCATAGGTTTTTTCAGAGAATTCTTCTCTTCATTATTTTCCCTCACTTAAATTTTTCCTGATTATTAGATTAATATGTTTACTTGAATTCTAATTCTTTGAAAAGTAAAAGTTCTCCTTTTCTGTAAAATCAATATAACATTTTTTTTTTTGGCTAAACAGGAAACTTTAAAAAATATAGTTATGCAAAGAAATACTTTAAAAATAATTCATTTGTATGGTAATTAGTATTTATCCACAAATTCAATAATTTAAAATAATCATATATCTTCTAGATATCAAAGAATTCATTTTTAATGTTAACCTAATTCTTCTTGCTTTTAACATTTTAGGCCACTTGGTCATTCTGGCATTTTATGGTAGAGAATACATTGAGTTTGGCTCATGGAAAGAATATGAGGTAATTGATCCATGTTCTCTATAAATTATGAATGTACACAAAACATAGAGTATTTTAATATGTCAAATATGGGGTCTCATGTCTGAATTTTTTCAATAACTTTTTAAAATGTGAGATTTTGAGATAGGTTTTTCCTTTCTTGATGGTTGACAATAGCTAATATGGTAAGGAACTTTTCTTTTACTACTTGTATATGTTTAAGACAAAGTATTGGAGCTGTTCCTCACATTATACGGTTACAGTTAATTTTTTTAAATGCTTCAGATAGCTTATTAGCTCTCTGTAGGGCTAAAAAAACCTCAAGAGAACGCCTCCTTCCTATCCACCTCCCCAGCCCACCCGAAGTAGGATTAAAGGCATGCTGCATTGAAAAGTACTAGCAGCTAGTGCAGGAAATAGTGTGAAAGGGCATTGAGGCTCCTGTAATGTGAAATTTCTAGGCACTTCTCAGGGTGGTCTAATGAAAACAAATATGAGCCTCATATGTTAGTCTTTTGCTGCCCCTTTGGTACTATCGTGTCACCCTGCACGATGCCTGACTTTGGCATTCTAAAATGGCACTCAGCTAAGTGCATATGCCACATTCATATCCATAGTTGTTTCATAGATTAGCAAGCATCAATCCTGTATCAGAATTAGTTCAAATTAAAGATAGTAAAATATAGCAGCTATCCTTATGAAATTCAGCCAATGACACAGGAGTGTGAGAATCAGTGGGTACTAACTATTGAGTAGAGTAATTGGCTAACATACTGCTGATGTCATAATTCCCCTACTCAATAACGGGTTGGTTATGTAAGAAGGTGCAGCAGTTTGGTGTGTGAACTTCTGCTTCCACTACAGCAGTACTTTAAAGAGGCTTTCCGTTGGCATTCAGAAAGGTGAAAAGTGCAGAGGTGGTAGTGGGAGGGGCATCAGAGGGATAGGCATAGAGTCTGAGTACTTGTAAGCTGTTCATCATCATTGGTCTTTGAGATTACGCTTGTACCCGAATTGAATTACTTTCTTACCTTCCCACACAGTTGGAATGCAACTGAAATGCAGCCCGTTGAAGGCGGTAAAATATTGCTCTTTTAACATTTCTTCAGTCTTCAGCTTCTGTGGGACGATAACCATACAGTTTGCTGGTTAAGAGACTTAACCAAGACTCAAGAGAAATAAACTGGAGCTATTTCCTCCATTTCAAACCTGTGGTTTTATAAAAGTCCACCAACGGGTGCACCAAAAATTCCCCTAACCACTTTTCAAAAATTTTTATAGATATAAGGTTGCAGGAAAGATAAAGTAAATAGTTTTATGTGTAAGACCTTTGTAACATGATTTATAACAAAAACTATGCATTTATGTATACGTGTTATAATTAAAGAGCTATAATCTTTATCACTGATAGTATATTTAAAGAGACTCAGTGCCAACTCTTTCAAATAGTTTTCCTAAGAAGTTTTGCAGCTTTATCATATTTATTAAATCATTTGAGTTGTCTGTATCTAACAAATGAATGATATTCTTTTTCCTTATTCATTTTTCATGATTGAGGGTATCTGGTATGGGCATCGATAACATACCTAATAATTGTGAAAGCTCATGTGGACCTAGAGAAAAGAGTGTCCATAGTGTACTTCGATTAAAAATGCTTGCAAATAATGTTTATTAAAAATAGGTTAGTGGGGCTTCCCTGGTGGCACAGTGGTTGAGAGTCCGCCTGCCAATGCAGGGGACACGGGTTCGTGCCCCGGTCCGGGAAGATCCCACATGCCACGGAGCGGCTGGGCCCGTGAGCCATGGCCGCTGAGCCTGCGCGTCCGGAGCCTGTGCTCCGCAATGGGAGAGGCCACAACAGTGAGAGGCCTGCGTACCGCAAAAAAAAAAAGAAAAAAAATAGGTTAGTGGAAATTTAAAATAAAAAACCAGTGGATATTTTGGTGGAGTCCTTCTTTTGGGTAAGTTGTAGGAGATGAACTTAACTTGAATTATCCTGAAAAGCCATAGAAAACAAATCTATATGTGCTGCCCTTCCCACTTTTTCCTTTTAATCTGACTTTTGGGCTTTCATTTTGATAGCCTTAAACTCCTTTGTTACATGTGAAATAAGTAAGTTGTCTTGGGAAGGGGAGGGGTAGGGAGGGAAAAGTGCTTTTACTTATTGCATGGCATATGGGCCGTTAATTATAATATACTTTATATTTACATTGTAGATCACACTTTATAAGGTTCTTTTGTATGTACAGCATCTTATCTAACTTTCTTCCTGACCAGTTATATGGGACCATATAATGGATGGGAAAGCCGAGTCCAAGAGAGGTTAAGAAACACCTTTGAAAACTGTTGCACAGCAAGTAGTTGGAAGATCTAGCATGTGCACCCAGATCTTGTGACTCTTAATCCAGTGTTCCTGTCCACTATATTAGTAATTTTCAAATTGTATTTTCCAGTCAAAGAAGTTCTTCAGGAGCCACCTTGGGTAATGTTGGTGGCTGCAGAGCACATCCATTTTTGTCTCTTTTTCTTTTGAGGCTCTGAGTAGTATTTCATCAGAAGTAAGCTTTTGGAGCCATTGCTCTGTACTGTTTTTCTTTGTGCAAGGACTAAAGAGTAGCAAACTATATTCCTTTAAGTGACAATCAAGGCTGTATACCTCTTGTCCTACTGGCATTGTGGATCTAGAAATAAGAATTAGACTGTTGGCATTTTCCTTACTTCTGTTCCTTGTCAACTAAGTACTTACTGAATATGTACTGAACACAGTATGCAGGATACACAAGTTACTAGCTTTTTACCAGGGCCAATGACAATTGGTTTTAAAATAGTAATATAGATTTGTAAAAATTAAAATAGAAACTGTTCATATTAAACATATTATATCTTGGTCATAAAGTGACATTAATAAGCATCACCATTTTTATATAATTTAAAATATTGCTTATACTTAATAATCCCAAGGCTGGTAGTTAAGCGTATTTGTTCTTAGAAGTAATTTTCATAAGCTATTATCTATGTTAGAGTCTTGAAAATGCTAGATTATAGTAGCATTTATGAGTATTGCTAATAGTGTCACAGAATGGTTCCTTCATCATATTATAGAATTCTAGAGTCTTTGATAATAATGGATTCCAAAACATGTTTTTACCTTACCCAAGTATGCATTTAAGCCTTATTGTATTGTTACAATCTATGAAATTACATACCTGCAAATAGAAAATAAATTCCATCAGTGGTCAACAAAAACATCATGAAATTTAATAATGGTTAAGAGTTTATCACACAAATTCAAGATAAGAGTAATTGTTATGGAAGCAACCTAAGTGTCCATTGACAGATGAATGGATAAAGAAGATGTGGCACATATATACAATGGAATATTGCTCAGCCATAAAAAGAAACTAAATTGAGTTATTTGTAGTGAGGTGGATGGACCTAGAGTCTGTCGTATGGAGTGAAGTAAGTCAGAAAGAGAAAAACAAATACCATATGCTAACACATATATATGGAATCTAAAAAAAAATGTTCTGAAGAACCTAGGGACAGGACAGGAGTAAAGACACAGACGTAGAGAATGGACTTGAGGACCGGGGGAGGGGGAAGTGTAACCTGGGACGAAGTGAGAGAGTGGCATGGACATATCTACACTACCAAATGTAAAATAGATAGCTAGTGGGAAGCAGCCACATAGCACAGGGAGATCAGCTTGGTGCTTTGTGACCACCTAGAGGGGTGGGATAGGGAGGGTAGGAGGGAGACGCAAGAGGGAGAAGATATGGGGATATATGTATAGCTGATTCACTTTGTTATAAAGCAGAAACTAACACACCATTATAAAGCAATTTTACTCCAATAAAGATGTTAAAAAAAAAGAATAATTGTTAGACTCAAATCATAGCATTGTACACATTTAATGTGTCAACAATTTTGTACTTTTTATTTAAAACTTTTTTTATTGAGATATAGTTGATGTACAATATTATATAAGTAACGTGTACAACATTATGATTCACAATTTTTAAAGGTTATACTCCATTTATAGTTATTATAAAATATTGGCCGTATGCCCTATGTTGTACAATATATCCTTGTAGCTTATTTATTTTATACATAATAGTTTGTACCTTTTAACACCCTTACCCCATTTTGTCCCTCCCCTTCCCTCTCCCCACTGGTAACCACTAGTTTGTTCTCTGTATCTGTGAGTCTGTTTCCTTTTTGTTATATTCACTAGTTGTACATTTTAGATTCCACATAGAGTGACATCATACAGTATTTGTCTTTCTCTGTCTGACTGACATCACTTAGCATAATGCCCTCCAAGTCCACTGCTGTTGCAAATGGCAAAACTTCATTCTTTTTTCTGGAGTACTACTTTTCTTAAACTTAACCATTGAGCTCTTAGTTTAGAGTACTAAACTAAACACTCTAAACTAGTAATGTTTGTTTTCTCCACAGTTCATTCTGAACATGGAACAATTAGAGAGGCACTGAAAAGGGCAGTAAAAATGGATATATTGGCAGGAGTGAGGAAGGATTCAAGAAGCGTGGGGGGAATCTGTTTTCAAATTTACTTGTATTTCTTTTTATTTTTTATTACAGAATTTCAGCTAAAAATCAATAAAGCAACAAAATGACAGGTATGTTAGATCCTTAAGTTATCTCCTTGAAAGACAGACCTAAGTAGAATGAACTTGAATTATAGGAAGGACGATTTTAATTTGTCATAAAGAAGATATTCCCTAAAAGTGAGTGGCAATAGAGGGATATTTGGGATGTCATACTCTATAAAGATCTTTAAGACTGGAATAGTTATCTATTCAACTAAATATATGTTTTATCCTTGAAGTCTCTACCAAGCTGAAGGTTCTTTTAGCTGAAGCTGCTAATTGCTGATTGCTGGAAATTAGCTAATTAATTAGCTAATTATTTAGCTAATTAAGCTGCTAATTGCTTGGAAATGTATGCAATATGTATATGATTCTCTTATAACTAAATATGATATATGTAGTTTATGGAGA